AATTTGACCCGTGAAACCTGACTGACACACCCAAAATTTTGATGTTTAAAAAAAAAAAATTCTTAAAAAATTTGATGTTTACAAACATGGAATAGGAAAACGTAATTTGTGTATTTGTAAAAAATATATATATTTGACTCGTGAAACCTGATCGACCCGCCCAAAATATTGATATTTAAAAATAAAATCTTCTTAAAAAATTTGATATTTACAGACATGGAAAAAGAAAATGTAATTTGCATAGTTGAAAAAAATAAAAATAATATAATTTGACCTGTGAAACCCGACCGACCTGCCCAAAATTTTGATATTTACAAATTAACATGGAAAAAAGAAAATGTAATTTGCATATTTGAAAAAATAAAATAAAATAAAAATTGACCCATGAAACCCGACCGACCCATCCAAAAATTTGATGTTTAAAAAATAAAATTTTCTTAAAAAAGGAAAACATAATTTGTATATTTGTAAAGAAAAAAAAATTTGACCCGTGAAACCCCAATCGACCTGCCCAAAATATTGATGTTTAAAAATAATTTTTTTAAAAAAAATTTTGATGTTTACAAACATGGGAAAAAACAAAATGTAATTTGCATATTTGAAAAAATAAATAAATAAATTTTTTTACCTGTGAAACCCAAACGACCCGCCCAAAATTTTGATGTTAAAAAATAATTTTTTAAAAAAAATTTGATATTTACAAACGTAGAAAATGAAAATGTAATTTGTATATTTGCTAAAAATATATATATATTAAAAAAGAGAGAGAGAGAGACCTGTGAAACCCGCACAACCCGCCCAAAATATGGGCTGGGATTGGGCTGGATTGGCCGGCCCAACTTGCAGCCTTTCGTGAGAGAGAGAAATGAGTTGAATGTAATATAGAATAGATGTGTATTATGTGTATATTTTGGGTGAAATATGAATTGAATATTGGTAACCATCTTAACCCTCAAATTAAGTAGTTAAAAATAACGAACCCATTTTTGACCCATTTTAAATATGATTCACCTATAACCATTAAAAAGTGAGTGGATATGGGTAGATTGATAGTTTCTGACCCATTTTACCACCCTTATATTTTAGGTATCAATTTTAGGTAAGTTATTACTCAATGGATTCGAGCTCAATCTTTACTTATACATTTGCCAAATACCAAAACTTTGAAAAATATTTTACATGAAAAATGAAAAAAAAAATTTCAAGAAACGTTGAAACAGACGGAGCCTTAAATAAAGACGCAAAAACAAAACGGGTACTAGTTTGGGTGTTATATGACAAAAATTGATAGTTCAAGGTCTTAATTGGCAGACCGAAACTCAATTTATAGCATAAATCATAACGTGGCATGTGCCCAAGTTTGTTTGTGTTTGAACTGGGCCGGTTATTTCAGAGCATGGGCCGAGATTGTTGTTTGTTCACCTCTATATATATATACACACACTAGTAAAAAGACACGTGAGTTCTGCTAACGCTACAAATTAATTGAAGCTGGTTGCGAGAGAAGGTGCAGACAGAAGGATAACCTAACCCTAATTGCAGGTGGGAATCGTTTGATATTCGTGCTTCAATTTATCTATTTAGTTTTATTATTATTATTATTATTTAAAAGGAAACTTAAATTCTATGCTGATGGACTTTTATTTTTTTTCCTAATTAATAATAATGTATTAATATATTTTAATTTTTTAAAAACAAATAAAAAAAAAACGCTCTTAACCAAGCATGTTTCTTGTTTCAGCAATTTTGACATATGTATTTCTTTCAAATTTATATCTATATTTATACTATTATTAAAAGGGTAAAGAGTTTCAATATTTCAGTATCAATTATTAAAATAAATGAATTTTTATAAAACTATTAAAACAACTAAAACAAGTTACAATTGGTAATTATTAAGTAAAATAATTTATCAAATAATAAAACAAATTATCAATTAAAATTAAATAGGTAATTGTTCAATTGAAATTCAATCAATATGTTTTAAATCATAAAATAAATTTAATAAAACAAATTATCAATTAAAATTAAATAGGTAATTGTTTAATTGAAATTCAATCAATATGTTTTAAATCATAAAATAAATTTATAATTACAATTAAATAGGTAATTATTTAATTAAAAGTCAATCAAGATGTTTCAAATTATTTATAGATAAAATAATAAAATAATTTACCATATAATAAAATAAGTTACCAATTAAAATAATTCCTAATATTCTTGAAATTCTTCAATAATTATTTATTAATATAAAAAATTAATTGATATAAAATGAATAAAAATAAAAGAGTTTCTATAAATAAAATGAATTAAAATAAAAGAGTTTCTATAAAACTATAAAAATAACTAAACAAGTTACAATGTTTCAAATCATTTATAGATAAAATAATAAAATAATTTACCAAATTATAAAATAAGTTACCAATTAAAATAAATCCTATAATTTATCAATTAAAATAAATCCTATTATACTTAGAATTCTTTGGTATTTATTCATTAATATAAAAAATATTTATTAATTGATATAAAATGAATAAAATATGTAATTATTTAATAAAGTAATTTACCAAATAATAAAACAAATTACCAATTAAAATTAAATAGGTAATTGTTTAATTGAAATTCAATCAATATGTTTCAAATCATTTATAGATAAAAAGAATAAAATAATTTACCAAATAATAAAATAAGTTACCAATTAAAATAAATCCTTAAGTTACTAATTAAAATAAATCATATTATTCTTAGAATTCTTTAGTATTTATTAATTAATATAAAAAATATTTATTAATCGATATAAAATAAGTAAAAATAAAAGAGTTTCTATAAATATAATGAATTAAAATGAAAGAGTTTCTATAAATAAAATGAATTAAAATAAAAGAGTTTCTAAAAACTATTAAAACAACCAAAACAAGTTACAATGTTTCAAATATTTTATAGATAAAATAATAAAATAAATTACCAATTAAAATAAATCATATAAGTTACAGATTAAAACAAATCATATTATGCTTGGAATTCTTCACTATTAATTTATTAATATAAAAAAACATTTATTAATTGATTTAAAATGAATTAAAATAAAAGAGTTTCTATAAATAAAATGAATTAAAATAAAAAGTTTCTATAAAACTATTAAAATAACTAAAACAAGTTACGTATTAAATTAAATAGGTAATTATTTAATAAAATAATTTACCAAATGATTAATTAAAATTAAATAGTTAATTGTTTAATTGAAATTCAATTAAATTATGCTTGGAATTCTATAAGGTTAAAACAACTTTATTTTGATTAATTTGGTTCAAAATTATTTATTTTATTACAGGTAGATTATTTCATTTTTTTTTTAATTAGGTTTTATTCTTTGAATTGCATTAATCATGTAATTTTTTTTTCTGTGTTTGTTTAATTATGTCACGTCACCATTTGTTTTTGAAGATTTATCTTAATTTATTTTGATTGATTTGTTTCGCTGTATGGTTCAAAATTCTTTATTTTATTAAAGATACATTATATTTTCTTTCACCTTTGGTAGTAATTTCTTTGAATTGCATAGATTTTTTCTTTTGAATGACTCCATTTATTTTTTTTAAATATATTAATTTATTTTTTGTGTTTGGTTTAAACTTGACAACATATTTCGCTTTATAAATATTTGAAATTTTAATTATTCAATCAAGTTACTAATTAATTATTTTAAAAAATGAATTTATTTTGATAATTTTATATAATTTTTTTAATTAAGATTATAAAATAATTTTTTTTTCCCACTTAGTTTCTTAAAACGAAAGATGCTGCCAAACACTTTTTTACACATTTCTGATTATGAAATTCCCACTGTAAATTTGGTCCAAACTCAATTGGTAGGATGAACCAGAACGTAGCATGGGCCCAAGTTATTTGTGTGTGAACTGGCCGGTTATTTTAGACATTGGGCCAAAATTGTTGTTTGTTCACCTCTCCATATACCACACGCTAGTACAGACGGCTGCTAAAGCTACAAATTAATTGAAGCTGGTTTAGAGAGAAGGTGCAGAAGGAAAACCTAATCCTAATCGAAGAACCCTCGCGTTGTTGTTTGTTCACCTCAATATATACACACAGGTGAGAAAATTAATTATGTTTGAATTTGTATATTGCGATCGCCTTGTGTTACTGGACTTTTATAATTTTCCGAATCTTGATTTGATTGATCATCTAAACTTCTCGATTGTCTTTTTTCTTGTTTCATTCTTTTCGTTCTCTTATAGTAGTTGACGTACTGATTTGGGAAAAAAAGAGAGGGTATAATTTGGTTTTTATTTTTCCTTTGAGCTTTTAGTCTCTTCAATCTGAATCAAGTCTCTAAAATGTTTCACAGGATTGAAACTGTGCCTCGAATCTTGAAATTAGAGGGAAAATAGTTTATAGTTTGATTGATATTGTCTTCAATTTCAAGACGTTGAAATTGGGGGCCCATTTTTTAAAATTCTCTATTGGTGTCACCACATGCTGAGAAAAGAAAGAAAAAGAAAAAGAAAAATTAAATTGTTTCTTGTAGTCACTTAAAAATGATCCAATGTGTAAACAAATGTTTATCACCTTAAACCTGTGGATTATTTAAGTAGAAAATATGTAAAATTGTTTCATGTGGTTTCACTTTAAAATGATCTAATTTACAAATGTATTCTAATGGTTTCATATGAAAATTTAACTGTCGTACTGACAGTGTGTGCTGCGGTACTTTATATGATATAGGTCCAACTATGGAAATGCTCAGAGAGTACGATATCATCAAGTTCTCCCCTGCGGAGTTAGATGATTTGACCAGTAATTTTAGCCAAGCAAATCTGATTGGAGAAGCCCAATTCGGCAAAGTGTATCGAGGGTAGTAACACTACTTCATTAGCTTAGTGTCTGAAATTTTAATTTTGAAATTTGATTTTTATAGATGTTGTTCCTGTCGTTGTTGAATGTTGTGTTTCAATTTTCCCCAGAAAGAATGCATTTTTCTAATGGAGTCGAGTGTAAATCATCATCAGAGTCTGGTCAAACTTTTGGGATATTGCTGCGAAGATAGTCTGTTGGGTGTTGTTTATGACCTTAAACCAGTGGATACAGTGCACAACCTCATTGATAAAGGTATTACATATTTTATTTCTTCAATTAATCTGTTACAACTTGACTTTTCTAATCATACCTCAATCTGTTGAGCATGCACGTAATGTTTTCAGTATATGTTGGGAGAGAGGGAAAATGAATCATCCAAAGTGACAACTATAATTACAAGGCCAACTGATTTTCCATATTAGTGTTCGGTGATAACATTAACTACTTTGGCTTGCTATACTGAATCTTAAATCTGCTCCCAAACTGATTATTTTAGTAAATCATTGTTTAGTTTTCCCCTTGTTGGATACTCTCTCTGTAAATTATTTTCTTCTTTGACTAAGAAAATTTATTTCTTTGAGTAATTATAATTCTGTCTTGTTTTGGACGTACCGCATTTAGTATCGAGTGTAGCTGCCATCACATGCACGGATATGGTTGGTAATTAAGATGCACATCTTTAATTTAGATTAGTATGCTATTTACTAAAAGATTCTCATTTTCTCGGGTGAACGTAGATGGATTTTCCTGGCTCCACAGAATCAAGGTGGCAATTGATATTGCACGTTTGCTCGAGTTTTTGCATTATCATCATAAACCGCAATACCTAGTTCGCAATATTAGTCCTACAGATATAATGCTTGATCAGGTCAGATCTGGTGTCCATGTACTTAGTGCACTCAGCTTTTCAGTAATTTCGTTCTGAAGAAATTTTTAATAAGAATTAAACATGATATTATGTTATGCTGAAACTCAGGATTACAATCCAGTACTATTCGACTTTGGTATTCTAGTTGGTGGGGTTCTTGGTGACGAGCAACCAATTGCAAATAAGTTCGTGCTTGGAGCGCCAGGCTATGGTGATCCCAACGTTATGAATTTCTGCATGTCAACTTAATGTTGTATTTATCATCTATTCCATGCCTAGAGTTCAATGCCTATGTCACCAGTGCACTTCTTAATTGTGAATGTATTTTTTTTTTTTTCCAACTAGTATATAATGCTATATAAATTGTGGGTAAGCGAGGAATGTCAAGTGAAAATATCAACCCAAACAGATGAGTAAATCATTATGATTACTTATAAAAGCGTCCTTCACCTCTCTTTTTTTTGGAATCCATGGTGCTTATTGTGGGAGGAAACTTGTGTGCAAAAAACCGTAATCCTAATATCATACTATTGTTATATGGTTCGCTTTATGAATCATATGACATAGTATCAAAACCTCCCTTGTTGCATACATGTGGCATGAATCATAAAGGTGAAGATTGAAGTAACTTGATGGTGCAAAGGAATTGTAAACTCCCAAGATAAGTAATTAATTTGAATTCATTTTGGCTATGAAAGGTCATTTGCTGTTGCTTGTGGAAGAGAGGTGGAAAAAAAGGAAAAATTATTGATGATGTTAAGCAAGAGAAAGAGAGAGTGCCCCTTGGTTGAGAGAGAGAAGGTGGTTGTGATTTTTGCTCCAATAAAAGATGGTCGTCTTCGTTCTGGGTGCAACTTACTTGTTGCATACAAGAATATTCTTTGACCTTGTCATTTTCATCACAATTTCATGCTTCCATAAAGTTTGAGATTATAATATTGTCACTTTTATTAAGATTATTTTTATATTTGGATATTGTAATATTGTCACTTTTATTAGAATTAATTTTCTATTTGGATATTGTAATATTGTCACTTTGGATTAATTTTCTATTTGGATATTGCAATATTGTAACTTTTATTTGGATTAATTTTGTATCTAAATGCCATTTGAATTCAAGTTATAATCTGCATGCTTTTGATATTATGTGTATGATGGGCTGAAAAATTAGAGTTGTGTTTCACTTGTTACTATACTAATATAATCTGCCCAGGCTTATTTCAACTTTATAACAGGGGAAATGCCTCATTACTTAAAGGCATTTGAGCCTATTGTCACGGACTTGAACCTTTTCAAGCTCCCGTGCGGCCTTAGACACTTTCAAGCCCCCTTGAAGCGCTAAGTCAGCCTACCCGAGTGTGCTAGCTTAGTGAAGATTAAGGCTAGACAAGTGTTTTGCTTACTTGGGTGTGTAGGAAGAGGTTAGGCAAGTGAGCAAGAGAGTTTGGGAATGTATAGAACTTGTATTACTTGAGAGGAGAGATTAAAACTTGGTTGCTTGGTGAGGAGCAAATGAACTCCCACCTCCTATTTATAGGCCTTTGGCCTTACAAGAACATTCTAGATGTGTACAAATGTGTGGCCTAGATTTAGTATCTAGAATCATCCAGAAATATCTACACAACTCTAGAACTATCTACTATGTACAAGACAAGTCTAGAGAATTCTAGAGAATTCTATACAACTCTAGACAAGTCTAGAAAAAGGTTAGACAACTCCACACTAATCTAGAGAATTTCGGAAAGTTCCATACTTGTGTAGAAAAGTCTAGAAAGCTCCAGTCCATGCAGGCTCCATGTCATCGTCTGCTGGGCGTCTGCGTGGCGCCTGCGTGGCATAACCTCTTGGTAGCGAGGTGTGATATTCTCCCCCACCTAAGCTCGCGACGCCCTCGTCGCGTCTTCTTGCTTGAACCGCTGGATATGCTCCACGAACTGCCATAGTGTATCCTCATGCTCCCAGCTCGCCTCGCTATCTGGCAGGTTCTTCCACTTCACTAAATACTCCGTATATTTGGGCACGCTTCTCCTGCTCATCACACGATCTGCAAGGATGCAATCAACTTCCTTGTCAAAGGATGTGACAACGGCCGTGGGTGCCCTATGCGATATGCCCCGAGTAAGGTCTTCCGTGTCTTCATGATAAGGCTTGAGCATGCTGACATGGAAGACTAGATGTATCTTCAACTTGGGTGGAAGCTCCACCATGTAGGAGACCTTGCCCACCCGTTTGACGATGGGGAACGGGCCCTCGTACCTCCTTACTAGCCCCTTATGCACGCTCCGGAAGGACTTAAACTTTTGGGGCAATAGCTTAACCATCACCTGGTCTCCCACAATGTACTCCACCCGCCTTCGCTTGGTGTCGGCCCACTTCTTCATCTTCTTTGCCGCCTTGTCAAGGTACGCCCTAGCCAAGTCGGACTGCTCATGCCACCTCTTGGCAAATTTGTAAGTCGCCGGACTCTTACCATCGCAAGTCGAAGCAATGGCGTTTGGTGTCATAGGCTGTCGTCTGGTAACAACCTCAAATGGACTGTGATTGGTAGCCTCACTCCGCTGCAAGTTGTAAGAAAACTGTGCCACCCCAAGGAGTTTGGCCCAATCTCGCTGATTAGCACTCACATAGTGCCTCAAATAAAGCTCCAGGAGAGCGTTGATGCGCTCCGTCTGCCCATCTAATTGGGGGTGGAAACTCGTAGAGAAGTTGAGATTCGTCCCCATCTTCTTGAAAAGCCCCGTCCAAAATCTACCCGTGAAGCGCGGGTCTCTGTCACTGACAATGTTTTGCGGGACTCCCCAAAGCTTGACCACATGGTCAACAAACAACTCTGCTGCCCTCTCTGCTGTGCAGTCTGCTGGTGCAGGTATGAAGGTGGCATACTTGCTGAACCGATCTACCACCACTATAATGCTCCCACAACCTTCTGACTTGGGCAAGCAAGTAATGAAATCCATAGAGACACTCTCCCATGGTCTCTTTGGAATAGGCAATGGCTCCAATAGGCCTGCAGGATGCTGTTGCTCAATCTTGTCTTGTTGGCACACAAGGCAAGTCCTCACATATGTCTCCACATCATCACGCATCCGAGGCCAATAGTAAGAATCTTCTAGGAGTGCTAGTGTGCGCCGCATACCTGGGTGACCAGCCCATTTGGTGTCATGGCACTCCCGTATCAACTCCTTTCGCAAGTTGCCCCACCTGGGCACAAATAGTCGGTCCCCTGTAGTGAGAAGTAAATCATCCATTAGCCAAAAGCGTCGAGTCTTCCCTTCCTTAGCCAGCTGAATAAGGCTTTTGGCTAAAGGGTCATACTGTAACCCCTCTTTGATTCGCTCCACAAGAGAGTGTTGGGGCCGACTGATAGCTGTGAGCTCGGCCTTGCGACTAAGTGCATCCGCCACAACATTGGCCTTGCCTGGCTTATATTCAAAATGATAAGTGAACTCCGCTAGGAAGTCCTGCCAACGAGCTTGCTTGGGGCTAAGCTTCTTCTGTGTCTGGAAGTAGCTGGTGGCAACATTATCCATCTTGATCACAAATTGTGCCCCAAGCAAGTAGTGCCTCTAAGTACGTAGGCAATGGATGACCGCCGTCATTTCTTTCTCCTGCACCGTATAGCGCCGCTCGGTGTCATTAAGCTTGCGGCTCTCGTAAGCTATGGGGTGTTCTTCCTGCATTAACACGCCCCCAATAGCGAAGTCTGATGCATCTGTGTGCACCTCATATGGTTTGGAGTGGTCGGGCAAGCTAAGTACCGGCTCCTCTGTAACTGCCCTCTTCAAGTCATCAAATGCCCCCTGGCATGACTCTGTCCAACTCCAAGCACGCGCCTTCTTGAGAAGGTCTGTCAATGGGGCTGCTCTCGCCGAGTAACCCTTGATAAAGCGGCGGTAGTAGTTGACAAGCCCAAGAAATGAGCGTAACTCTGTCACCTTAGTGGGCGGCTCCCACTTTTGAATGGCCTTCACCTTTGCCTCATCCATCATCAACTTGCCATCCCGTATCTTATGCCCTAAGAACAATACCTCCTCTTGGGCAAAAGAGCATTTCTCCATCTTCACATATAGGTCGTTCTCCCGTAGGACTTGGAAGACCGCCCTTAAGTGCTGCACGTGCTCCTCTAGAGTGGTGCTATACACAACAATATCATCCAAGTACACCACCACAAAGCGATCCAAGTAGGGATGGAAGAGCTTGTTCATCAAAGTACAGAAAGTAGCAGGTGCATTGGTGAGGCCAAACGGCATAACAAGAAACTCATAGGAGCCATACCTCGTCACACACGTAGTCTTAGGCTCATCCCCATCCGCTATCCGCACCTGGTAGTACCCCGAACGCAAGTCAAGCTTAGTGAAGTAGCGTACTCCACCAAGCTGATCAAAGAGATCGGCAATGAGAGGAATGGGGTACTTGTTTTTGATAGTCACCTTGTTGAGCGCCCGGTAGTCGATGCACATGCGCAAGGACCCGTCCTTCTTCCTCTGGAACAACCCCGGTGCGCCATATGGGGCCTTTGATGGTCGAATATAGCCTGCATCTAACAGTTCCTTAAGTTGCCTCCGCAACTCCTCCAACTCTAGGGGTGCCATCCGGTAGGGCACCAAAGCAGGGGGTTTAGAACCCGGTTCCAGCTCAATCTTATGATCTACCTCCCTCCTAGGTGGAAGCTTCTTGGGCAGCTCCTTAGGCATCACGTCTGTGTACTCGTCTAGCACGGCTCGTATCTCCTTAGGCATCTCTTCTTGTGGGGAAGGAACTAGCTCATCTTCAAGTGTCTCCAGTAACGTAGCAAGGTAGCTAGTCTCTCCCTTCTTGAAGCCCTTCTTGAACTACATAGCTGACAAAGCTTGGGCTTCTAACTTGGCGCCTCGCTCCACCGGCACCATGCATGCTATGTTGCCTTCCATAATACACATAGTGTTAGCAAAAGGAATGGGGAAGGCTCTCACCTTGTCTAAGAACTCCAACCCAATGACTAGTTTGAAGTCGTCCATGGGTACCACCGATAGATTTATGTGGCCACCCCATTCACCAATGCATGCTTGGACGCCGTGTGCCATGCCATGTATAGCCTTTGCTGCCGAGTTAACTGCCTTCATGGAGCCCCCTTCTTTGCTATACTTGAGGCCCAACCTCTTGGCCTCGTCAAGGCTCACAAAGTTGTGGGATGCACCCGTATCCACCAAAGCACGCGTGGGTGTCCCATTGATGCTCGCCTCCACGAACATTAGCCCTTTAGCCGCCGC